TTGCAAAGCTATTAGTTTCATGTCTCATTTATCGCCCTTGATGTTATTCCTTTTACTGCCTAATTATACAAAATTAGATTTAGACCTGGCAACAATATAAAAGTATAGATAAACTTTTCTGGCAACTGCAATATCCTCCAAAAACTAGTTCTTTTCAGACGACACCGACACCGTTGCACCACCGATGATTGGTGATGATAAGATTGAAGAATTTTTAGAGGTAGAAGTAGGTGTCTTCCTTCTTAATATTTATAGCCATGAATGCGAACTTCTAGATAATAAAAGTTGTAAGGAATAGGACACTCTCAAAAGAAGAACGCTTGCAAGAGATTCGACCTCTTCTACAAAACTATACTGATGTCTGTAAAAATGTTGCTAACTTCGCTCTTGTGCTAAAGTTTACTTGTTTCAGAGGATTACGTTGGAGACAATGGGTAATCTCACTGATCTGCATGATTTCATTATGGAACGCGTGGAGAACGCTTCTGCAAAAGTGGGTGAATGTATTACGAATATTGCAAAAAGGAAGCGTGTTACAGGTGAAGGAAGTATTCCACAAAATTTACGATTTGACTGCAGATATCGATTTTGACAAGAAAAGTGAAGCTGAACAAAATAATGAGGTGTGTCGTTTTTAGAATATGCTTCACGATGCAGCATCCTCTATGTCACACTTTTCTTATCCACTAAAGAACAGAGGGCGTGTCATGTTGATTCCTTGTCTGGCCTGCATTAATCATCATGTACTACAAAATTTTGATGGTTTCGCTCTGATCTCACATCGGTAGATCCATCGGTCTGTTGAAACTGCGAGGAAAGGTTTTAAAAAGCGCCAGAAAAAGCAGAAAACCTCCGAAAATTGCCGAAATGCTCATGCGCGAGCGACTTCGAGCGTAGAACATGTGTATCAGGCATTTAAAGTTTAATCATTCATGCTGGTTTTCTTTGAAGAAGTGTAGTAATCTCATCTTAGATATATAATCTTCATGAAGCATGCTGTCGTCAGTCTGCCATTAGTTTCATTTCGCTTTAGTTTCGACAACTATTCTGGGGTAACATCCTTTCTTAGCTGTGGTTGGTTGCTCTTCTCTAATACAAAGCATTCTAGACTATTTCAGTTCAGAACGTAAGCATAACCAAAATTAGGAGTCTTTTTTACCTTTTTGGAAACGTGCCTCATGAGTCTCAAATATTCTAGGGTACACATTCTAAAGGTCTCTGAATTTCGTTTCTTTAACGAAAGTGAAATTCTTGCTCGACCAAGACAGCTAGAATACTAACAACTTCAAGAAGGAATGAGTAAGAGCAGAGTTGAAGATAGTGAATTGTTTCCTTTAAGTTTTCCTCATTGAAATGCAGCACACTTCTTTGTGCATAAGCCGACGTTATAGTGTGCATTCTCAGCACACTATAACGTGGGCTCAAATGGGCAAAAATCATTTTCGACA